TTCCAACTTTGTGGCCTTCTTCACTACAATATAAGCATAGATCTTCTTCCATATGCTGCTTTTTTTCTTCTAGAGTAAGGGATTTGACACGTACCACATCAATGTCTTCTACCTGTGAATGTGAATTTTCGCTGCTTGCCGACATAGTTGGAGCATGACGAACCATATGTTGTCTTGAGCGTTGGTCTTAGTGATGTTGGAATAGGCGGTTATCGCACTTTATAGCTTGACTAATGGCTTCGTTCAGCGTTTACAGATCAGAAAGAGTTAGCAACAAATCCTTCACATCGTCCCTTAAATCCCAATAGAATTGACTCATCAATGCTTCTTCATTCCAATTGATGTCATATACTAGTTGCATGAAATCCGATGCATAGATTGATGTAGAGCACATCCCTTGTCATAGTGACCGGATCTTTGTTGTAGCCCATCGAACCTTGTCATGTTCACCAAATGCTTCCGTAAATACCTCTAAAAAGGTTTCAAAGTTGTTTAATATGGATGATCGTTTCTCAAACAAAGGAGCAAACCATGATAGAGCTTGCCCTGTAAGTAAGGTTCCAACAAGCCCAACACGTGACTCCTCTGTTGGATAGCATTAGGGCTGTAAAACTGTTATCAACCTGATTTGATTGACAAATCCTCGAAACTTGGAACGTGTGCCATCAAACTTATCCGAAAGGCTAACTCGGGGCTCCTTATGTTGTAGAACTAATGGTGCTTGTCGAACTTGAGGTAAAGTTGCTTCTCCAAGTGTAGAAGTTTGAGGCTAGTGTAACCTAGATTGTGCCATCTCAGATGCTCCATCATTATGAAGCCTTGCCATGACTCCTTCAATTTCTGTAGTTCTTTGTGATAACGTAGTGAGGGCATTCATGATAGCATCCAACTTGGACTCCGAACTTTCTGTCATACTAGTGTCTTGGCCTCTAGCCATTCTAAGAGAACGATAGAAATGACTCTACAAAAAGACAATATTGGTTTAGAAGAGGATACTCCGTAACCTCTAAAACGCCTTAAGAGCTTCAAGAAAAGGGGTAATCCACTCTCTCCAAGAAGAATAAGACTCCAATATTGTAACAAAAGAAGTATCAGTTTAGAGGAGGGTAATCCGCAACCTCTAAAACGCTAGTACACCTTCAAGCAGAGGGATAATCCACACTCTAACGAGGAAGAAACTAGCTCTGATATCTGAGGTGAGTTTAGTCTCGATAAACGTCACGGACACAAAAATATAGGCTCGAGATCTAACAAGAAGTTCAAGAAGAATTGGCAAGAACTAGATTAATTAGATGAATACAAGAACAACACCAGAGAGGTGAGCTAGAGCTCCAAGAGATGTGTTGTCGAGACTGAAGAACTCTTCAGCCTCGATTCCAATATATACTTCTATTTAAGAAGCTTCTTAAGCAACTTCTACCAACTAGGAAGCTTCTCAATGACTTCCACCAACTAGGAAGCTTTTCAAGCAACTTCCACCAACTAAGAAGCTTCTCAAGCAACTTCTACCAACTAGGAAGCTTCCCAAGCAACTTCCACCAATTAAGAAGCTTCTCAAGCAACTTCTAGTAACTAAGAAGCTTCTAGAAGATTCCAGAGACTTGCTTCTAGAAGGTTCTAAGGACTATGTCCCTAACATCTTTGTAGAATTAAAAGATGTATCTACAAATATACCATTAATCCTATTTAGATACATCTCTAAGTATTTACAAGTATTCTTATGCTTTAAAAATTTTACATCATGATTCTTAATGATCTTCTTGGTTTCTAAATACATAAACCTATATGCTATGATACCTTTGTAGTATTGAACAAATATACATTTTGTATCTTTTGCATTAAGTTTTGAACTCATATACTCTAATGTCTTTTTATGAACAATACATCCAAAAGTCTTCATATATGAAATATAAGATTTTTTCTTATTCCGTACTTTTTTTGGAGTCATTAATATGAGTGCATTTATACAATATATATTCCTTGCAAATATTGCATTCACTACATCTACTACCTAAAATATATGCCTTATATGTTGAAAATGTAGCATATTCTTTGTCATTTCTACAATGGTTTGATTTGCTCTTTCAACAATTCTATTTAATTATAATGTGTAACAAATCAATATCTTAATCTTGCACTCATATTGATTTTTCATGAATGCCTTAAACTCCTTAAATCTTAAAAAGTACTTACTTCTAGATATGATAATGAAAATCCACATCTTTCTTAAAAAAATCATAAATAAATGTGAGAAAGTGCCTTGCTCTTCATATTGATGGCATCATGATAGATCTATAAACATTTGAATACAAAATCTCTAATAACTTGCTTGCATATGTTACAACTCCACTTGAAAATTTCTTTATAAATATTAAATGAATACTTATATAAAGTCACGTATTTGGTGGTATCGAAGTCAATAATCCACTTAGATATGACAGCCTTAGAAGTATCTTTACTTGCCATAAATACAAAATTATGTCCTCCAAATTGCTTGTATACATTATTGGAATTTTTTCTATTTCTATCTCATTTTTATTTTTATTTTTATTTTTTATCTTGTTGTAATTTTGTACAAAAAGACCTAATTTTCTACAAATAAAGTAAGTTCTCTTATTACTATAGTCATTAGAATAGCCTTATCTTGAAAGAAAAGCCGAATCTTTACTTTGAGGCTCTTTTTTTTTCTTTTTGGTTATTTCATGGACATGTCTTACTGTCATGAGTCTATTATCAGTTCCTTCAACTTGATGGATTTCAATGCTACAATCAGGTCGTTGTATAACTCAAAAAGGCTCATAAGTAAGGTCATGACAATTTCACTTTCTTTTAAAGGCTTGTCAATAATTGCTAGTTGATTTGCAAGAGCCTTTATCTTATTGACATGAACTATGGGATTTTTATCTTTTTCTATCTTGCAAGTAAAGAATTTCTTTCTTATAAAAATGATATTGGATAAGTTCTTACTCTAATATATGTTACAAAGAGTCTACCATACTTTTGCTTGACCTTTGTAAGAAATAATTTGAGAAAAAATAGCCTCATTCAAATTGGTAGCAATTATACTAAAAGTCTTTTTTTCACGTCTTTTGAAGTCCTTCATCTCCTTAGTATTTTCATGTATGCTTGGAGGCTCTTTACTTTCATCTATAATATCCCAAAGATCCAAAGACACTAACAAAAGCTTCATTTTGATCTTCCAATGGTAAAAATTGTTCATTCTAAATTTTTTAATTACTCTCAAACCTTCACCTTCACTAGAAGCCATGTCTAAAAAGAGCTCTATTAAAAAATATCAAAAAAAAAAGTCTCCATGTATTCAAAATCATAACGTTAATTTCATACTAGCAGAATCTCAAAATGTTGTCTTGTGAACAATTGAGTGTTTTTTCACTCAAAACACTCTCAAATCAAATTTGGAAGTTTTTAATAAATATATTCACTTCCAAAAAATCTTACTGTCAAGATCTTCCATACTTTCAAAATAATTATATTACAATACATACAAGATAAGTAAAATTACTACAACAATTAAAAAAGACATTGTTAAGATATTTCTTTAAGATTTTAAACTTATAATTCTAAGAATTAAGAATCCACCAAACAATATTAAAGATCTATAACGTCAAAAACAACACTTCCTCATATTACAATACAAGTTTAGATCTTACAAACTCTAACATCAACAAACACCATAAGATCTATTCATACAAGTACAACTACTAGAAAATGACATCAACTTACTTGAATGGCACAACTAAGTGAGTGTAGGCCTATTATCTATTAAAGAAATACAACAAGTGAAACACAAGTAAGTAAAAATAAGAAGTATTGTATACAAGAGAAGTATGTGTTAAAGTAAGTAAGTAAAAATAAAAATAGAATAAGTTACATTGTAAAAGATATTACTTTAGATAAGTTGTCATTGGTTAAAGAATGGACTCTTAGTATATAAGAAGGCTAAAAAATAAGGTAGATAAATGGATAAAGAATCTTAAAGGTATAAAAAATATGTTCAAAACATATTTTTATAGTAGATAAGATAGCTATGGATAGTCTTGGTAGAATGTTGGATAGATGTATTCATCAAAAAATAGAAGTTGTCCATTAGATTAATATCCACTATGTATAAATAACGGATGTTGGAAGTGAGACATCTTATTCCATACTCTCTTTGTAAGCAACCTTGTTGATATTATGTATTGGTGACTTCAAAGTTTATTTTCTTTAATAGTGTAGAATAAACCATATTAGTAAGTTACTTTCATTCTTTTATTATTCTTTGAATATTAGCAACTTATCTAAAATAATTATATCTTATTTTTATTTTAACAAATCTTGTAGTTTATCAATAAGTTGGCCTTTTGATATGATGAGAGCTAATTTTTTTACCATTAGAAAATTATTTAAGATAATATATTTTAAATGATAATTTATTTTAATTTTATTTTTACTTATTTATTTTAATAAGAATTATAAAAAGATATATATGTATGTATATATATATATATATATATATATTTATATTCTTAGTAAAAGGAAGATTTTGATATCATATGCTTAATAATAAGCTATATAAGGAAGGAAAGGATGGACGGAAGGGAAGGATGGACGGAAAAGAAGGAAGGAAAGGAAAGGAAAGGAAAGGATGGACGGAAGGGAAGGAAGGAAAGGAAAGGAAAGGATGGACAGAAGGGAAGGATGGACGGAAGAGAAGGATGGACAGAAGCGAAGGATGGACGGAAGGGAAGGATGGACGGAAAAGAAGGAAGGAAAGGAAAGGAAAGGATGGACGGAAGGGAAGGATGGAAAGGAAAGGAAAGGATGGACGGAAGTGAAGGAAGGAAAGGAAAGGAAAGGATGGACAGAAGGGAAGGAAGGAAAGGAAAGGAAAGGATGGACGGAAGGGAAGGAAGGAAAGGAAAGGAAAGGATGGACGGAAGGGAAGGGGAGAGAAGGAAAGGATGGGGGAGGGAAGGGGAGGGAGAGGGAACGGCAACGGGGTTCTGTCATTCCGCAAGGGAGGGAGGGTGCTGCCAGAGGAGCACCCGCCGTGTTCATGTGAGATGTGCATGAGTGAGCTTTTTGTGATCGAGCGAGGCTCATCGTTGTTCTTACTGTTTAGCCCTGTGTGTGTGCGATTTCACCCCAATCGTTTTCCTCTCTCTACTGCTCGTACTATGTGCTGCCGCACCTGCGACCAGAATGAGAATTTGTTTGTCTGTACACTGCACCTCTAGCGAATCTTCATCTTACTTTCCACAGGCACCCCCCTTTGTCTCGGTGCCAGCAAAGTGGTCTGTTTTCTCCTGGGGTGAGCCAAGAGGAGCACAGGCTTCTACATGCGGTTCTTTCTTGAATCGCTCTGCTTCAGCACAGCCAGTTCGATGCAGACAACTGGCTCTTCAGTCTTTCCTGCCTCTGCCCCTATTTTTTTCTTCTACAGGCATCTGGTCGGTACCGGAGTAATTCTTTCACAGAATGGACTTTCGCGCATTGCAGCTGCCCATACACCTTATTCGCGGTTTAAAGGTTAGGGCTCTTGTCTTCGCCGCTTATCACGATTTCCGTCAAAAGCGGCTTGTCGTGAAATGAAGGGAAATTTTATTTCTTTTAAGAACTTCTTTTGCTGAATCTGGATGTATGAGATGCTCAGACTTCAGACCCTTTGCTGTCTCTCCTGCAAGCGAGTGGCTCTTCACTGAAGCTCTGTAGTTTTTCTACTCACGAGAGTTGCTGGTAGGTCTCCGTGAAACACGTGGACGGTGGGAAGCGTGCATAGAGGAAGGTAGCCGCCAAGCTAAACTTTTGTTTTCTTCTAAAGAGGACGCAGCAAAAGCATATGACAAGTGAGTGATTGTCATTTTTGTGAAGCCTTTTTCGATGGACGACTAATTTCAAGTCCTAGGTTCTTCACTCTTTGATTTTGAAGGTGTTTCAAACTATCTTAGTTGAATGGCGATCGAGATGGCGAATTTGGATGTCACAACGGTTATGATGGATGTGTTGTATCTGTAGAGCCCAATTCAAACTGTACGGAGATGGAGCTGCAACAAATTTCGCTCTGTCGGAGGATGAGAAGGAGGACGTATCGAATCTGGAGTGGGAAGACCTTATTCTAAATTTGCAGCTCCAAGGATTGCCAAAGGCTACACTATGTGAGTGAGTTTCAAGCCTAACTGGGATACATTTGGTCAGATTTAGATGTGTCATACCCTTGCAGCAAAAGATGTTTTTTCTAATTGTAATATAGCCCTGTGCCACTAATCAAGTGATAAAATGTAGTCCCTTAAACATGGAAATCATGTAGATGGATTAGGGTTTTTTGTATGTGGTTCTATGTCAGCTGCAAGAGAAGTTTTAAACACAGTCCTTTCCCGTTTTATTTGTTTGAAATTAAGATTCCCGTGATGTTCCTGAGTTTTTGTACGCTTTATTTGTTCTACTTCAGCTGGCCTGGCATTTCATGGAGTACTTTGCAAGGATGAAGTCTGGCAAACCTACGTGAAAATTGGCAAGCAGCGTTATGTGGGTCGATTCACATCAATGATGGAAGCAGTAAATGCGTATGACATGTACGTCTCTTGTTGAATGCATTAGCCTAGACTATTTGACGGTTTTTCATTAGAATAATATTTCATCGTCAAGGGTTTTGAAATATTAGTTCAATTCCAAGCCTTTGGATCTATATCTTCTGGGCAGTGCTGTCAGTGTTCATCGTGTAGTCGACATATGAAGAATATTGGTAGTTCGCATCAGACATTTCACGACATCCAAAGTTTGGCAAACTAAGTCATATGTACCGGTGGTCAAAGGAAATCTTTGCTCTAAAGTATATTTTTGGTGCAGGGTGGAATACAAGATTCATGGGAGTGATGGCTTACTCAATTATGATCTTGCCGAAGATGAAGTAGCTGAATTGGAGAAGACGGACTGGAACTCACTGATCTCTAACCTGGGTTTAAAAATTTATGAACGTCGGAAGCCCCGTAAGTTCAGTCATGCTCTTGTACACAAAAATTCCTTAGTACATTCAATTGGGGAACTTATTGCTCTATGTATGCTTACCTCGATTCTCAATTTTTCTGAATTTAAAGTTTATGTAGGATCTGTTTGATTAATTGCGATCTACGATCACGATTTGAGTATTCTGGGTTTTCTGATTTCTAACCAATTGTATATTTTTTGTTTCTTTTCTGGCGTTTGTTGAAAGTTTATGAGGTTGTGCAGTTTTTGGGCAATCATAATTTTGGTCAACTTGTGGAAAATAGTTCTGATTTGATGTAGTGCTTGCCAGACAAAACTGGATATCGTGGTGTACGTCAAGTTGCTCCTGGGAAGTGGTCTGCAAGCTACGCTCATCGAGGGGCCTCGATACAGTTAGGGCGATTCGAATCATTAGATGCTGCTGTGAGGTCTTATGACAGGTATTGTTTTTAGTGGCCTTACAGTGCTGTGTTGCTGGTTTGGAATGTCCATATTAACTCCAGTAATCACGTGTTTCTTAATTGAGGAGAAGAAATTATTGTTCATTGTTTTTTGAAGAACCGGAATGTCTTTCCTAACTCTACCTTGTTATGTTCATTTTCTCTCCCACCAATGTTTTCGTTCTTGTGAAATGTAATTTTCAACTTGCCTTAATATTGAACCGAAGTAATTCTATGCAACTCTGTACGAAAACATTGGTGTACATCAATTTTCACTTGTTTGGCAACTAGATTGGAAACGATCGCACCATATCAAAATCTCCTTAACTGATATGGAGCATAGGTGGACTTCATGGGTTCACTTAAATTTCTTGAAGCTGTTTCCTTTCTGTATCCCCAAACGCAGACAGTTCTCTTGTGGACAATTTAATCTGGCTTTTTGTAATTCGTGAATCCCAGGTGGTGGTATTGATAGGGGACTGTAGTTTTTGTTAGTGTAGGAGAGTGGTTACTGGAGGTAAATTCTATCTAACTCTTAAGCTGAAGGCTTTTCTGAATAAACTTTTAGTGATTGTTAACGTGTTTTCTCCACATGAAGTTTTGTATACAAGTTATGTGGAGAAGCTGCCAAGTTGAATGGAGCTCTTAGTGATGATGAGAAGGACCAGCTGTGCAAGCTCTCCTTGAAAGAAGTTCGAGCGGCTTTAGCAGTCCAAGCCATCCGTCCACCAAGTTCAGGTGTTCAACTTATTTCTTTGCATTAAAACATCTTGTTCCTTGGAATTCTGAGCTTGCAAGAGATATGAAATGCTCATCTCGCACATTCATTTGTTTAAATGTTTTTCGTGTCAAAGACACGATATATTCGACTCAGGGTGGAGATTGTAGGTCTGTTAACAACAAAATAGGTTTTCGTTCCAATTAATCTATCAAGTCTGTTGGATTCCAGCTGATCTGGGTGCTCGAGGAGCCCGCTTCGTAGGAGGGAAGTGGGAGGTATGTGTAGAAAGTACAATGCGCGACTCTCTTTTTCTTACGACCACGATTAATGAAGCTGAGGCTACGCAGGTTCATGATATGTGAGCATTTTTCTTTATTAACTTAATTTACGAATAGATCTTTTTTAAACTAGGTAGGACTTAACTGTTTTGCCGAGTGAACCTTATGTTATGTCCTGGACTACAATTTAGACAAATAGCATCAAAGCTCCGCATTCTTATTACGAGCTGGAATGGAAGCTCAGTTTTGATCCTCCACTGTTGCAGAGCGGCTTACAAGTTACACAAGGATTTTGCAAAGACGTACTCTGAGTTGTCTCTAGAATTGCGGGAACAAATAGACTCCGTTGAATGGGCAACAGTTGCCGAAAATTTTGGTTTTCAACGTCTTCCCTCCTGTAGGGCCTCAAATCTGCAGTAACTCACGTTCAGTTTATGCACCTTTTGTAACTACACAGTACGTGTTGTTTGTTGTTCGATTGTATTTCTAGTAACTTTTATTATTTTTTCCGATTGTTTTCGTTTCGCTTGGGAGCTTTATGCAGAGATTTACTCTTACTCTCCTGACAGAATGTATTACTCCTCAGTATGTGAGCTTGTAAGCATATGGTATTTGATTAACTCGTAACCATGTGAATTATTACATACTAAAGAATGCCTTTGTAGATATCCGGAGTTATATGTGGTTTTCCTCAGCTATTTCTTTAGTTTCAATTGTAATTCAGTCACATTTCGGCCCATCAATGCGTACAGATTACGGAGTGAGGAGGCTGGTATCAGGGATGTGGCAAAGCTTCATCCGTTACGGGGGATCCTACCTTCCTGTTGGTACATTCGCATCAGCTGAAATGGCTGCCCATGCTTCTGACATGTATGCTTTCTCCACTTACGGACTCATGTATGTATGGCGTTCCGTATCCCACCTCTAACATGATCGAATTACAAGGATAGATTTTGTCGTCTAGGGAATAACTTAGCACTTGAGTTTGTCCAGTTGACTTTGGAGGGCTTGATACAGGTGTACCTATAAGCTAGGAGGGAATTCTTCAGGGACATTGTACAACTTTCCATTGGAGGGATTCGAAAAGAAAAAAATTGAAAAGCTTCAGTGGTGCCAATTAATTGCAAGCCTTCGAGGTATCATCAAATGTGTTTTCTTTTTTTTTCTTTTTTTTTTCTTTTTTTTGTGTGACTTTTTCGATGTTTGGTTACCTCAATTTGGTCTCGCAGATGAATTTCTATAGTTTGGTTCGACCTTGGTGACATGCACTATTAAAAGGAAACAGCTCTAGTTATTTCGTAGAGCGACCTGAAAATAGGTATTTCTTTTACAAGTTACATCGGGTTCGATTATAGCAGCTTCCTTAACAGCAAGTGTCAGCATTACTCAACAGTAATCTGTATTCGAAGGTTAGTCCGATTTTTTGGAATAGGTTCCGTTGTGCAGTGAATTCACGCATAAAGAGGAGACAAATGTACAGAAAGAATATGGCCTTAATAAACCCTAAACTCTGAACCAATGTGGTTTTGTGCCGTTAGGGTACAATTATATGGAAACTTGACAATATGTGGTCGTTGTTGAAAGTATCTTAAATAAATTTAATCACTAAACCTTACAAATGACTCCACATACACGTTAAACAGATACATGTACATACAGTAGCTGTTAGTTTTCGCCGCTTTGCAGGAAAATTAGAAAGACCGCAACTTCCTGGTCTAATTTTAGGCAATATTTGTTGGTAGCAAAGTTTAAGCCTTCTCTGTCAATCTTGCGTGCAGAAGAGCAAGAATGGTCTGCACACACTACTGAACTTGCTGACATGGAGGCAGCTTCCGCAGTTGATGAAAAGCATTTATCTCGAGATAAAAGATGGATACTCTTTGTGTGTCAAGAACAGTTGATTCAACAAAGGGTAATTAATTTAGACCTTCCTTAAAACTGACTTTATTACATCGGATTTGAGATTCTCCGAGTTAATTTGATGTCAAAGCCTGCTCTTCAGTATACTGAATGTCTGTCTGAATGTACACAGATGATGAGAAGGGCCTCTCGTGTGGGACAACAAATTATAGTACGAAGGCCAGAATTGGCAGAACAGTTTTCACCTTTGAATCGTCGCGCAGATGGATCTCCCATGCTGGTCGAGGAGGTGATGGAGTGTAACTCAGCTCCCTTGTTGTGGACCTGTCAGTGTGGGAATCTCTTTCTCAAATCTCCTGCTTCGCTTGCAAAGATTAAGCCTGTGTGCCACCAACCTGGGTGCACATCAGTAAGTCGGGATAGATTTTCTGGAAGCTTGAATTGAATGGACACCCGTAGGCTCTGATTGCCTTAGCAGCCATGATTACACTACTCCCTGTCTGAAATGCATTAGGCATAGCTACGGAAGAGCACATTTGTCTCATTCATGGACGATGTCCCGAGTTTGGGGCACACATCTTCTGAGCAACAATCATTCACACTAGCATTTGTAATTTCTTTCACTCTCTTTTGTAGCCCAACGATTGCGAATATCTTCAAGAAGATTGTGCTGTTTGAAGGACTTTGTGAGTACACCCTTCTAACATAACCTACAAATATCTCAAGTCTTCAGATCATAGATTTAGTTTTAAAACCGAATTTTGTTGTCCATGAACTTGAGCGAAGTTGTGATAAAGTGCATGCCATGCTTACAGATGTTACTATACGTCATTAAAAACAAATCGAATTATGGAGGGATTCTTTTCAGTGAATTTTGAAATATCAAAAGTTGGAATAAACTTTGTAGCTGAGTCCTTAAAGTTTGTTCACGAACGTCTAGGAATTGTTAACTATTTTGTGCACTGTATAGTAAATAAGTATATTTATATATTCATCTTTAATACATATTGACTGTCTTGATAACATTTGAATCACTTTAAAGGTGATGATTAATGCTTAAGGTTATTCTAATTTATAAAGAAATATGTACAGAAAGACTAAATGAAACTATAGAATCAATTGAAAAAATTCTAATATCTACTATTGTATCTACTATCATACAATAAATTAAATAATAGATTATGACAAGTACCTTGTAATCTTAATCTAGATGGATTTCTTTTGGTAAAAATGAAGTGAGAAAAAAAAATAAAACATATTAAAAAAGAATAATATATTTGATAGATGTAAATGTAGTAGAGATAAAAATTTATCACTTAGTCAAAAAAATCATTTATGTAATTAAATTTAGATACTATTAAATTCAAAAGATATTTATATTTTAGATATATATAATGTAAGAATGACTTCACTTTATAAGATAGATTATCTACAAAATTATTTATAAGTTCAAAAATAAATGATTTCACTATATTTATTCTAAATAACTTATAAGGTACACATAATTAACTTTGATCATAGTCAACTTCTTAAAACAAGTTGACTATATGGTGTAGTTGACTATTGAGTATTAATTATGTAATTGGGACTACAAAAGAAGTTGATTATAATCTATAGTTGACTTTAGTAAGGTTGACTACGACAAGAACTTATTATATATATATATATATATATATATATTTTTATTATTATTATTATTTTGATACAAATGTTATATTTGTTGGCTTTGCTTTTAGTGATAAATTTAGATATTATTTATTCTAGACAATAAAGCTTTTAAGGTAACATCTTTTGAAAATTAGTTATTAAATATTTTACATAATATATCCAATGCCTATAAATAATAATTATAAGAAGTAAAAGTCATCTTATTTTACAAATTTTTATATTTGTACATCTTAGTATCTAATTTAAGTGTATACTTCTATCTATTATATTTCTTCAATATATTGTTGGTTCATACATGCTTAAATAATTGAATTACAAATTTGCTTTGTTACTAAATGTAAGAGTACATGAAATTTGTATTTGTTGATTTTAAGATTTTAAAGTATTAATCTTGAATTTTGGATATATTAGGTATTGCATTAAGTTAAAGGAGGTTATATTTTTAACAAAAGGTTATACTAGCTCTTTAGAAAAATTTATATTTGTTGTTTTGGATGTGTTTTAAGGCCAAATGACTATACTAGAGATAATTGTATTTGATGTAAAGAAATCTACAGATACTAGCTGACATTAAAATCAACAATCTTATTTAATATATATTGTATGCACATTTGAGTAGTAAGGGGGAATTATAAGTGAGAAATTTGCAATAATAAAGACTTGATTTGGAATCATCTAAAATATTAGACAATATCTTGGATCAATATAATTACTTAGTAGGTTGAAAAAAAGATTTAATAATTTATATAACTCTAAATTTCTAATTATTTACAATCTCTCTTATCTTCTTTTTTCATGAAGTGGAAATGATTTAATAGGATCAAGATAGTTTTTAATAAAACAAGGGGTTTAAAATCAAATAACAAGTTTTGTAGAGACAACTTCTAGTACTAGAAGGTTAAAATAAAATTGTTGTTAATAACTTTAGACCCTTGGAGTATTATTCATAATTGAAAAGAACTTCTATCAAATGGTGTAGATCCCAAAGTTGTTCGGGACTATTATTGTCATGAGAAAAAGCCATTTGACACCATTGCTTCTAATTTGGAAATTACCAACTTTACACATACCATTTCTTGTAAAAAAATCAACAAGGTTTCACATATCAATAAAATAAAAGCCCTTACAAATCAAATTTTATTTGTAAACTTTTAGAAGAGTGTGGTATAGTCATAACATTGTTGATGAATTTGCAAGATTTATATAATAATCTTTTCAAGGCTTTAGAAACTATCCCAATTAAAGACATCATACTTCACTACATGATAATAATATTGAATCATGAAGTTTCCAAATGCATAGAAAGAAAAGCGTTGGTATAAATATTTTGCACTCTTTACATATTAAGGCAAACAGAACACTTTTAATTAAATCCTTGTACTAATTATTTATTTTATTTTTAGTAAAAGAAGCAACGTTGCTTAAAATTTCTTTAAAACCAACATAATGTGTAGAGATATTGCCAAAAATGCAAGGCATGTAGATATAAGTTATGTTCATACATTTATAACAATTGAATTAAGGTCAATGGCAGCCTTGTATAAGTGGATTATGAATATGGATGCTACCAAGCACATAACACCATTTAAGTGTTTGTTTAATACTTATGAGCCTTCTACCCTCTATTGTATATATAGGAGACAATATCATAGCAAAAGCTATAGAAATAGATTTAATTATTATAGACATGGTTGTAAAGTATGAAAAAGAGAGGATAAGATTCAAGGACGTCATCCATGTATCTAAGATGATATAAAACCTTCTATTTTAAAAGCAAACTTATGATTGGTGGTTTTAAAGTCCAATTTTATGTTGATGGATGCTTAATAAAGACATTGAGTAAAAATATTGTAGCTATGGCAGCTATGGCTCCAAAAAAAATAAAATAAAATAAAATAAAATAAAACCTATACATTATCAATTGCAAAAAAATAAATGGATAAAAAATGGAGGCATTTTTTCAATTTCCATCAAATAAATAAAATTTTGGTAATTAAAATTGGTGCTTTAACTACATAAATGTAAAATAAAATAAAATAAAATGAAAATAATGAAGCATATTAAAACCACAACAAGTAGCTTAGATCTTTATTCAAATATAATGGATGTAGCTTGTGTAGGATGCAATTAATACAAGCAATATAGAAATTTATTTTCCAAATAGTAAAAACTATGTACAATTGATTTATTAAAGGTGATGTATTTTGATGTTTATAGACCTATAAAGACTACATTTGTAAAACGGATTTTTTGTATCTTTATCAATGATTTTTATAAAGAGTATAGAATTTATCTTCTTGAGACAAATAATAAGTCCTTTGTCAAGTTACAATACTTCAAGGCACTTAAAGAGAAAAAAAAATAAAGAACCTAATTAAGATATTGTACAAGGACAATAGAGGTATATTTTTGTTTAAACAATAAGATATACTATAGTAGAATAAAGATAATTTTTATTATTTAAATAATATTAAATATTATTGTTATAGTATAATTTTTTATGTAATAATTTAAAATTAAGGTCTTTAATTAAAGATAAAAAATATTATTTTTGATAAAAAAACTTAAAATTTTTATTAGAATTTTTTATATAATATAATTTAGTTTTGAAAATAAATTAGTAATAATTTAATGATTTTAAGAAAATATTGAAATAAAATAGTTTGTTATGTGGTATTATAAAAGGAGTTAAAATATAATAATTAGTCTAATAGATATATGAGAATAAAAAGATAAATAATAAGATATTAAATCAAAGATTGTAATACATTAATTAGAAGAATTTAGATAATTAGAGAAAAAATTAAAATTTATTCAATAGGAGATTTTGAGATATTATTTAGATGCTTATACATTATTAATAAATATATTTTATATATAGATGATATAATTATAGACACATACAAGATATTTTTGTTGTACCTAGACATGATTTAGACAAGATATCTAATTTGTATAATTAATTAGAAATATTATAGCCACCTATGTGATTTTAGAAAGAAAAGTTATTCTTAAAAATTATTTTTTATGTTCTTTTTTGTGTAGAGTATTTTTTTTAAATTCTGTATGCATCTTTTTTTAATTTATTATTATTTATTTATATATATGTATATATATATATATATATATATATATATATATAAGTTATAAAAAGAGAATTTAGTTTTTTAATTAAAATTATAATTCTTTTCTTACTTTGGAGATAATGAATCCAAAAATTCATTAACGTGATAGCAATTCCAATTTTAATTTAGGTTTTTTTATATGACACAAATTGAATTTGTTAGCAGACTTAGAAGTTGGATGATGGTAGGATGTTTTATAAAAGGATCTTGCAAATTTTTACTTTGCTTATTTACATGTGTAAAATGAAACAATGTTATCTTATGCTAAATGCACCCAGATTTTTTTTTGTTACAATAGAATTGGTGTTGGTGTTGAAAATTGTAAAAGTGGTGGCAAGAAGGTTGTATAAGGCATAGAAATTAGTGATCTATATATATTTTTTTAAATTAGTTACTTTTATAAAAGATGCAATTAAATTTACAAAGAAGATGCATCTTAAGGTATTAAAATTGAGCAAGAAAAAATGGTGCAATTTAAGGTATTGAAATTAGACAAGACAATCAAGTTTATTTCTCTTTAGTGTTTCACTAGTCTAATTGCTTGTAGATTACTTTGACATACATGACTAATATTGTACTATATACTTCCAATTTTTTTTTTTAAACAAGGTGGTTGTTTTGATTGGGCATTGATTACAGCATTTGTTTTTCAAGTCAACAAAGTAGATAGTAATGGAAAGGTTTAGTACATTCGTTTTTGCATCATCAAATTTTCTTTTAAATCAGGTTTTCTTCAAGAATAAAAATTATAATCATTAAAAAATCAAAGCAGTAATAAATGTATGTGGCGTGAGCAATCAAATGGCAAAAAAATGCTATATAGAGAGAAGTGTATGCTCATATAATATTGAAACTAGACTGCCAAAGATGAACGACCTATATCTTTGGC